TACCACCATTTTAGGGCAGTATCGGGGCCCCGTCCGATACTGTATCGGTATCGGTGCAACACTACTAAAACCCAATTTTTCCCAGGTTTAAAGTGGTTTTTCGACCAGTGGGAAAGGAATAATAGAGCGCTACGTCCTGCATTAATTCTGGGGCTCTGGGGGCAGAAAGAAAGCCCCGATTGATGGCTGAATTTTAGGAGCTGCCCGGCTTTGGTTTCCATTGAGAATCTGTCAAATAGTTTGATGACGTTTATTATTGAGTTAAAGCTTATTGGCTTGATGCTTTTTAACGGTAAGTTTTTGTCTTCATGTTCTTCCCATCTCTGCCTGATATTGATCAATGCTCTTGTGTCCCATCCACAGGTTTCACCACATTGGTCTCTACAGCTTTCAGATACAGTTTTAAAGCGAACAGATTCCCTCATCTGCAGCTCATCGAAGGATCTTACCAGTGGAGAACGTGTTGGGTTTAGGGGAAGTGGCTTCTTAGGCGGGCTGAGTCTCTGTGGGGTCGGGGGTGACTTGGGTGGCACTGTTGGGGGCTTGGCAGATGGGAGAGGTGGCCTTAGGACTTTGAGGTCCCGCGGACCACCCTGGGGAGACTGAGTAGGCCTCAGAGGTCGGACGATGTTGACCGGCTGGGTGCAGTTTGGCACTGGTCCTGGTCTGAGTGGTAGAACCTCTTTGCTGGTGTGAGGAAGCTGGAATAAAATGAAAACAAAATCATCTGATAAAACAAAGATATGTTTTTATCAGTAACTTTTTGAATGAAAGACACTGCAAGTCAAGAAGACCTTAAAAAAAACCCTCACACGAACATTTACATCCAATGATCCCAAGACCGAGGACCCGGCAGCGCCGGTCCCGGGATTACCGGACGACCCAGTACCTGAACCATGAAATCCGGATTGCTAGATTGGTTAGTGGGGTGGTGACCCCCCCAAGACCGCGGACCAGGCAGCTTGCTCTACCCCAGAAGGCAACCGGAGAACGGGGGTTGTGAGAAACTCGCCAATCCTCCCTGCGGCCGCTCAAATGTTGTGCTGTTGCATGTTGTTTTAGTGTGTTTTTAAAACTAGGAGTACCAAAGGGGGTGTCCGGGACAGTCCACCCCCCCTCCGGAAGGTAGCGACCCCGCCCCCACCCCCCCAAATCAACCACTGAGAACCCTCAATGTCCAAACATGAGGGGCTGGAGGGAGCCACTATCCAACTCCAAGTACTAGTTTCTTCTGTCCTTTTCAAACCTTTGTCTCCATAGCATCCTGGCACAGATCGTTTATTTTTAAAGTACCTCTATGGGGAATAAATGCCATGTAAGCCCCTAATATATTTGGGATAATATTGTCATGTAGTTTCCTTATTTATGTTTTTTGTCCTCCAGCTATAATTTTCTGGCCAATCATCTGCCAGTCCTTGCCGGTGACCCTTCTAATAAAAGAATCAAGTAGACTGCGGAGTAAAAGCCTGATGAAATAATGGAGAGAAGTGTTGAGGATGTGGGAGGAGGTGTTCTCTAAGTGGTCACATAAAACAAGCCGCTGAACAATGAAGCTTTTTAAAATGAAGGTCAACTTCACGGACCGTTTATTTTCATCCAAGCAGAACGAGGAAACAAGGACTCAACCTCTCCTCTCATTCCCTTTCCTCCAGTTTTTTTTTTTTTTTTCACAGAAAGACTTACCCCCTTGTGGCCACCGGCCTTGTTGATTGGACTGACCACTTTCAGGTGGAAGGCAGGATTCAGGTGGCCATTTTTCTCCTTCTCCACTGAAGCCTCATTCCTGAAACAAAGAAAAAGGACAGAGATACCTCCTTTACTTTAGATTGGATCAAACAAAGCAGAGGGATCACTGACTGATTTTTGAAAAAGTGATTTAGCTTATCAGTATTTCATTCATAATTGTTAATATTTTTGGCTTGGTGAGTATTCAACGGCTCCTTTGTATTTTCTTCCTATCATCTCCAAAGCGATTCTAAAACAAACCAAAATAAAAAAAAAACATAATATGTAAGAGATATTCAGGTTAGAGAAGTGAAAGATGTAGACTCCGACCCCAGCGAGTGAGGATGAACCCAATTTAGGCACAAAATCTATGGTGAACGTGCATAAAGGGGCGTCGAGAGTTTATGTGGTGCTTCAACTCAGAGTTATAAACCCCTCAGCAAGAAAAACTGCTATTGGCTGTCCTAAAAAATGCTAGATGATGTCATCATCTAATTTGCATACATTGATTCATCCAGCTGCAGGAGATTCCAAATCCCTCTGTTTTTTGTTTTACAGTCAGCTGAGTACAAAACGTTGGCCGTTTCTCAATCAGTGTTCTTGTGCGTCCTCGTGAAACGTCATCAGCCTCAGCCCTAGTATTGTTCCAATTCACCAGAACAGCAGGCCGAGAACGGACAAAGTCCCCGGATGTTGTTCTGGCCCCTCCCTCTTTACCCAGCATGCATCACAGCATACTTGTCCGTTCTTGAGATTGACAGCTGTCCCAGCATGCACTGCGGCAGCAGCAGCTACCAGGTTAGCGCTCACAGAGCTCAGAGCATTAAGATAAACTTTCTCTTTTCTGTTGCCGTTGTTCAATAAAAGTACGTTTTAAGATCATTTGAGGCGAGAACATTGTACTTTTAAGCGTCACTATATGGCCCATTTATTGGTTTAATGCGTAATAAAATTTTTTTCTGAAGTTGAGAGGACCGCGGCAACCAGAGGAGCTCCAAGGGTAACGGCAGCCAGGGCTAACGTTAGCCCGTCTGCAGCAGCGGCCAGGGCTAACGTTAGCCCGTCTGCAGCAGCGGCCAGGGATAACGTTAGCTCTTCTGCAGCGGCGGCCAGGGCTAACGTTAGCCCGTCTGCAGCGGCCAGGGCTAACGTTAGCCCGTCTGCAGCAGCCAGGGCTAACATT